TCTAGCTTTGTTATTCAAGAGGGACTGCCAATTAACCCAGAGTTATTTATTAAATCAGTCTCTTGATGGATAAATCACTATGTATTATTCAAAAGTAAAAAATAATGACTTTTGGATTTTCTTAAAAGTCAGGGTACCCATACACTAAAACTTTAACCACTCTAAAAATACTTTTGAGAGCGTTCTAGGCTGAAGGATCTGTGAGTGATACAAATATGGGTAAGATGTACTTTCTCTCAAACGTTGCACCCAGAGATTCCTTTGTCTCTGTACTTTGCAAATTCTGCTGTCAGTGATGGTCCCTTCTGCCTCTCTTTGCTGATAAAACCTCACATCACTTCTTCCCAGGCCACCTGCGGGTCCCATCAGCACTTCAGAACCAAGACAGAGTATAGTACCTACGTCCTGTCCTTACTGCTCCCCCATCTGTTATTCCTGTTTCCTTATTTCCTTTTCTTTTTTTTGTACCGAGGATTGAACTCGGGACCTTGTGATTGCGAGGCAGGCAGTGGAACCACTGAGCTAAATTCCTGACTGTTTTCCTCATTTCTTGCCCATCCAGGCTGCTTTACAAAATTCCACAGGCTGGGTGGCTTATAAATAACAGAGATTTCTCTTCGCTTTGGAGGCTGGGGAGTCTGAGGTCAAGGCGCTGGCACATTTGGTGTCTGTGAGGGTCCACCTTTTGGTTCACAGGGGACTGACATTGTGGAAGGGCTGGGCCCTCTCTCTGAGGTCTCTCTTATAAGGGCACTAATCCCATTGACGAGGGCTGCATCCTGGTGACCTAATCCCCTCCCAAAGGTCTCACCTCTGAATACTACCACATCCCTCTAATACTTCTCAACCTAAGAACTTCATGGAGACATAAATGCTCAGTCCATAACATCTTGTTTGTCCTTCACTCACATAAATGTCTACTTCAACAGAGGGCTTGGTCTACCCAACACCATTTCATTCAATCCCTACCAGAACCATGGGTTGTGGTTGGTCTCACATTGAAAGGAATACAGGAGAGGTAAGAAGTTTCAGTTTCTCCTAACTTACCCACATGGCTCAATGTTGTGACTCCCCAACCAAGTGCTTTACAGACAGTGCTTAAGCTTTTAAGCATAGAGCTTATACATCTGTGTGCCCAAGTCAAAAATCAGAATTCAGGTATCAGATCTGGGGAATTTACTTAAAGCCTCTACTCCCACTTTCATCTATAAAGTGGAAATAGATCAGTAACAGCACCAGTTTCATAGGATTGCTATGGAAGTGAATGAGACAAGGTGAGCAGCCCTCTCTACCTTACAAGCCCGCAGTGGGCTGACTTGGCTAGCACAGCTGATTCTGTTTACTAGCAGGATGGTGATGCCCTCCATGGGCCCTTAGAACACCCAGTTTGCAATCAGTCATGGTTTGCTGAGTGACCAAATGATTGGAGGCTTTCTGGGACCATAGTTTACACACTGCTTCTTCCTCAGTGCCACAAGTTTCTTCAGAGGGAAAGAAGAGGAGTTGAGTTAGATCCCAACACAGAATCTGATGAACACTGTCCACCATTTACTATAGGGCTTTTGTGCTTTGTCCAGGAACAGCTATCGTGCTGTAAAGACTTTACATGTTTATTTTTATTATAATACCAGGAGTCAGGAACTTGTTCTTTTTTTTTGTTCCCAGTACCAGGGATCGAACTCAGGACCTTGAGCTTGCGAGACAGGTGTGGTGCCACAGAGCTACATCCCCAGCCTCAGCAACTTGTTCTTGATGAGGAAAGCCACGAACAGAGAGGTTCAGTAACTGAGTTAAGTCTCAGCACTGAGAAGCAGTAAGGTTGAGTTTGAGTCCAGCCCCCTAACCCTGCAGCCCAGCAAGTGGGGTGTCCCCTGACATGTTCCCGCTCGGACCAGGGCTCAGGTCCTGGAGGGGCTGCACCAGAGGCAGTGAGTCCTTTCTCACTGGGCTTGGTTGCAGTCCATCAGGAGAGAAGGGATGGCATCTCAGCAGTCTGAGGTCTTTACCTCAGCGTGGGAGGCCCATTTCCTCACCCTAACATGACAAGAAACCTCAGCCTCCTGCACTGGACAGTCCCAAGACACTTCTCGGTGCGACAGGTCCTTTCTCAGAATCTCCACTTCCCTTTTGGCTGAAGAAAACATTATTTTATTTTAGGTACTGGGGATCAAACTCAGGTCCTTGAGCTTGTGCAGCAGGCGGTGAAACCACTGCGCTAAATCCCCAGCCCCAGAAAACATTATTTTAGAAATCCTTGTAGCCAAATGACCAAGTCTTCTCTGCCCATTTTATAGATTAAGAAGCTGAAGGTTGGACAACTCATTCCCCAGTAACTGAAAAACGAGATGCAGTTTTAGACCCGGGTCACTGCCCCGGAAGGGCTTCGCTGGACTTGAAGCAAGGGTGTGATGTAGGGGCAGTGGAGAGAGGAGAGGAGCTCTCTGAGTCAGAGGCCAGGTTAGGAGTCATCAGCCTGAAGGATTTAGGATGACATATGCTCTTGTTTGGGGATCAAACTCAGGACCTTGCCCTAGTGAGGTAGGCGGCGGCACCACTGAGCTAAATCCCCAGCCCTTTTTTTTTTTTAAATGGTAAAGATGAGGAACAATTCCTGCAGCACTGTGGGAGGTGAAACTAGGTGGGTGTTTATTTATAATTTATCATTTCACTGAGAGGTTCTCTCTCCCTCTTTCTTTCCTTCTCTCTCTCTGTCTTTGTCTGTCTCATTCTTTCCTGCTGATCAAGAGGACACCACTAAGCATAGTAAGCTATTTGCTCAAGGCTGCAAAACGCAGCCCTCAGTTTGTACAGCATGCTCAGCCTGGCGGAGCCCATGCAATAAGGGATCAAAAACAACTAATGTCCCAGAAACCCAGACATGGAATGAGGTAATTGTAATCCTTGGGTGATCAAATTTAGCTTTTTCTGCTGTTTGATTTATCTTCTTTAGCACAGTAAAATTCAAGGCCAACTAGTCAAAAAAATGGTGCTGTCCCGAGGACCAGGCCCTCGGTCCTCTTAACTCCAGGCCCTGGCCCCAGCCTGACCATAGGGTAAGTGGGTGGGGCGGGAATATCCACTGCCAGGAGATCTCAGGGCTGGACACCTCATGCCACCTCAAGTCACATTTACAGAGGGCCTGGAGGCATGAGAAATTGCTCAGTATATCATTCTCAGGGAAAAGAGTAGGCTGCAGAGATACATAGTATGGCTTTTTGCATCAAAAAGGGGACTAGACATTAACCAATGTAATTTTGAGCTATAAGAAAATGAGTGAAAAATTTCTGTTCCTTTGCCCTTAATGTATTTTCCAAGTTTTTACAATAAGTCCCTCTGTCCCTCCTTCTCTAGCCTTCTCTTATTTATCTACCTATCCATCCATCCAGCCTTAGATTTATTACCATGCAGTGTATAGTTCTTGGGCATTGAATCTGTATAAAATCATAACTGCAAGAGTTAAGAACATCATACAAACCGACCCACTTCCCTTGATCTTTCATTTGACCTTGTAGTTTTTGCTCTTTTTATTTAATGCAAACCAAAATGAAGAAGTGCTTCATATTTCTAGTACTTGTTTTTTTTTTAACCTAAGGAAGAGTATTCATTTTTCTACAATTGTTTTTTCTTTTGGACACAATTTTTCAGTGAATTTCTAAAGGCCACACCACAATCTAGAATGCGTACGTGATTCTACATCTCCTCTCAGTATTCAAGCCTCTAGACTGAGTATCAAATCAATTTCAAACACTGCTACACATCTTTCTTGTGTCCACACACTTGTATCAAGTCTTCTTGAAAAAGAAATCAATTTATTCAACAAGAAGACTTAAATAGTAATTATAATTTTACTTTATAAGAAAAGTAACATTTCAAAACTTCTTGGTTGAGGAAAAGCAAAGGAAACCTTTTGGGAAGCTGTGTAACAGAAAAAAACATGGGCCTGACAGCTGGGAGACCCAGTCCAGGTCCTGACCTGGTCACCGACACCCGTGTAACCTTGGACAGACCACCTTGCAAATCTGTGAAATGCTCCTATTCCTCCCAGATAAACAGGAACCACCGGAGATCAAGTCCGGTCCCTCTCCTCTGAGCCTTCCCAAGTTACCCGCATTCATCTGCTCCCCTCATGTTCCCTCCCACGGAGCGGCACAGGTCAGGAACATTAAGGCAAAAGCAAAACCCAAGTCCTTCCTCAATCGAGGGACATTCCTCTCCTGCCCCCTTCCCAGCCAAATCTTTCTGTGAAGTTGTCAATACACACTCTGTCTTCTGCTACCTGGTTTTGGCTCCTTAGCCTGCTCCCAATGAATACCCTGGACCTGCTCTTTCTAATAGCACCCACAAACCCTTCAGATTTCTCCTTTTGTGTCCCCAACCCAGTCTTTGCTACTGACCACCCCTTCTCAAAGTGCCAAAGAGCAGACAGGTGCATCCCCTGGGCTGGGGGCTTGCCCAGTGCCCACTGAGGTTTGGGCTGGCATCCGGAAGCAGGGTAAGTGGTCCCTAGAGAGGTCCGAGGTAGGAGAAGGGGGTACTCAGACCCTGACGTTGCTCTCTACACTCCCCATCCTCATCTCCAATCAAGTAACTGATGTAGGTAAACACTGAATTGCTTTACTGAACAGCGTCTGCAGTGATTATAATGTCATGTAGTCCTTTAAAGTTTAACTTTCAAAGTTTGGCTATAAATTATTTAGGTGACTTATCATAAATTAACTATTGATTGATAATGTTCCTAACTATGTCATTTCCTTTTGAAGGGGTAGCAGAGGAGGGACAAACACAACGTCCACTCTTGCTTCTTCCTCCCAGCTTAGAACAGCCGAGGGAGCCGCCTCTTAACCCAGCTCTATCAGGCTGAACACATGCACAAGCTCTTATCGGAGTTTAACTGTTTCCCATCACTCTCAGGTGCTACAGGCACAAGTGTTTTCATCTCAGAAACCCATCTGAACATTTTAACGGGAAATGGAGAGGCATCATCCGAAATGTTCACTCACCGTTACTGTGGAGCTCTCTCCTGACTGTTGGACAGACGTCATGTAATGGGAATCGCAGGACGCCAGGGCCAGAAATCCTGGGACAGGGTCTGCACCTGACCTTGAGAGAGAACACCCCTGAAATGGGTAAAATGCATGTAACTCCGACCCCCAAGTTCTCCAGCTGACAGAATCAGTACCCTTCCTCTTTACCCCGAATCCACAGCCTATGCCTCTACGAGGGAGAAACATTTTTTTTCCCTGACATTTCAGGGACTGCTCAGACGGGGTGCACCTGTACCCCTGTCTCTCCTGAGCTGCACTTGTTTCTGTGAGCCTTCTTGCTCCAGACATTCCCGGAAAGGCTGCTCCAGCCGTCAGGCGACAGCCTTCCCATGCAGGTGTCACGAATTCCCCAGGTACATGGCCTGGGGCTAACAGGAAGTCACCTGAAGGCTCACTCTCTCCCCTGCCCCTCCAGGCTGCCTTGGTTCCTTTGACCCAGTCTCTTGCCTCTCCTTCGGCCCAGCAGAAAGGAACCCTCACCTCCCTGCATTAGCGTGCACGCAGATATGGTGCTGCCTCCCAAGAGAGACGCCCAATCCGACCCTACCTTCCCATTCCAGGGCAGGATCTGGCCTTTTCCTTCAAAACTCCAGAACAGCTGCAAAGTATTCCAAAACGGGAGACAAGCTTTGAACACCTCCCGTGAACACTGCTTCTGCTTTAAACATAAAACTGCTGGCAGTTTTGACAGTGTTTTCCCCAGCTTCTAGCAGGCAAACTTCCAGAATGACTGGGTCATCGTGCGTACACCCTGGGAGCTTGATTGGGAGGAAGGTGGAGGCAGCCAGCATAAGCCCACGTGGGCAAGGCTGAGAAAGTTCCCCGAGTAGAACTTATCTCAAGGGAAGAGAAGTTAGCACGGCCATGGCAGGTGTGTGGGGGTAGAGGGAGGGAATTCTGAGTCCAGCGCCTCTGATACACTGTACCTGGCTCCAATGGAGGCTGGATATAAACAGCAGTAGCAGCAGCAGATACAGTACCAGCTGGGCAGGAAGAGTTAGCGTCTGTTTGGGAGTTCGGGCATGTGTTACGCCCGGTTTAACAGCACGGACACAAAGTTTATTTTCAGTGCTATAAAAGCCTAAATCTTTGTGTCAGAGTGACAGAGAAAAGTGAAAAGTTCCAGGAATTAGTAAGGGAAGCTAAAAACGGGAGAGAGGTATGGATGGGAAAGTGGGGAACAGGCTTGCAAACCCTTGTATTAGTCAGGGTTCTCTAGAGGAGCAGACCAATAGCATGAATGTGCTGTACCAGCTTCTAGGTGTCTCTCGCTCGATCTGGTGTTGACAAGATTAATAATCACAGCTCCCCCTGTAAAAACTGACAAGTGGGTGCTCCATAAATAGCAACAGAGCCTGAAAGGGTGAAAGGGGGTCTTAGAGATCAAAGCCACTGAAATTGGAGCAGAGGTCTCTGTCTGAATGCTGGCTCCCCACCCACCAGCTGAGTGCCACTCAACCGCTCTGCACCTCAGTGGCTTCACCAATAGCTCGGGAATTCAGCCCAGGAACCCGGAGAGCATGACAAAGTAATGAGCTCACGGGAGGGACGTTCTGATCGCCTAACAGTCCTTCAGGTGGAGTCAATCAAAGACCTCAGAAAGAATCTCACTGTTCCCAGGGGCAGCGGGTAGGAGAGAGGTCTGGGACAGCCAGGGAGTAACCCAGAATTAAAACGGTGACACACAGTCAGTTGGTTTGCTGGGCATAGACACGAAAGGTAGGGTCACTCTACCCAGTAAACCACCTGTCATTATAAGGAGACCTACAAGAGGGTAGGAAGTTCACAGTGGATTATGGATAGGCACATCATGAATACCAGTCAGGTGTGTGAGACCACTGGGAGACTGACTCTCTTCCTCCCCCGGGACTTAACACTACATTGTTTCTGAGAACTATTCTTTCCCCTCAGGAAACACTAGTAGGTTTGTGTGCATGGGTGTGTTGGTTCAACTGTTCCGTGCCAGACCTTTCAGACAACGGAGAAGAGTGTTTGAAAGTCAGCTGCCATCATGTGCCACATCCAATTCTTTTTTTTTTCGGTACCAGGGATCGAACTCCTTGCGCTTTCGCAGCAGGCGGTGGAACCACTGAGCTAAATCCCCGGCCCCACATCCAATTCTTTGTCACACACAACCTAGAAACCCAGAGGGACTCGTTTAAGGCTGTGGCTAGATGTCCCTCCAAAGCTTCCTGTAGTCATAGGTGGAGCTTCTTCAGAGGTGGTTGGATGGATCTACAGCGTGTGATGCTGGGATTGATTCATGGTGCAATGCTAGGCTCAAGGTGCTAGGATTAAGGGTGTGAGTGCTGCCTACCCTAAGTAGCCTGGATAAGATACGAGGGCTAGAAAGAGCTGTGGTTGTCCCTTGCTTGCAGTGGGCTATTTCTCCTCTTCGATCCCCTCTGCCACGCCACCCAGCCAACTATGAACTGAAATCCCTTGAACTGTGAGCTAAATAAACCTTTCCTCCTTTAACTTTGGGTGTCAGGTATTTTGTTTTAGCAGTGAGAAAAGTAACTAAGACAGACCTCATCACACATAGTAACAGCTCCATTTTGATTTTGATGTCTTTCACACGAATCTCTACTCTTAACTATTTTAACTATTGTACTTTATTAGAAGGGCTTTTTTTCCCCTTCCTCGTAACAATCTCCAATGTCTATGGTTCTTAGACAAGCACGAATAGCAAGAAAACTAGAAAGTGTTAGAGTTCTCTACCAGACAAAATGGCCCCAATGGTCCTACATTGTAAAATGGCTCCCGTTCCTAAAATGGTTTCCGATTATGGAAATGAGCCACTTCGCAAAAGTGAAACCTATCCCCTCTGGCGAAACAAAACCGAACTTGTTGCTCCACCCTGATACCCACGTGATCCTCCCCTTCCAATCACCTGGCGTCCCATTGCTCAACTCTCACTATACTCGCCCTGCTGCACCTCTCTCTGTAAACCTCACTCCCAGTTAGTCTCGCCGTCTCTCCCCATTGTTCGAGCTAGCCCTGCAGCTCTATCCCCAATAAAGCCTTGCCTCGGGTGCTCCTGTTTTGGCTTGTTTTCTTTCAGAAAGAACTGTCTTTAATAACTTGAGAATCTCTATAAAAAAGCAATAGAGTGTATATCAAATTTATCTGCCACTAAGCATCAGGAACTAAGGGCAGAAATGTGTCATCTTCATCATAGTCCAGAGCTGTCGCTAACTAATGCTACTGAATTGGAAGGGAAACAGATCAATATCTTAGGCAAAAAGAAACAGGTTATATAAGGATTTGTTCTAGGAATGTTAACAAATTTTCATTACTTAATTTGACCTATGTGTTAGCTACTTTTCTCTTGTTGCTGAGACAAAATACCTGCCACCCAAAGTTAAAGGGGAAAGGGGTGTTTATTTGGCTTACAGTTCATAGAGGTTTCAGTCTGTAATTGGCTGGCTCCAAGGCAGGGTGGAGTGGCAGACAGACCTTGCAGTTGACTTTGCTCACCCATGCAAATGGACATGGGGATCGCTATTCAAACTTGTCATTTCCGCTGAGTTGGGAGCCTTGGTGGCATCATAACTGTTGAGTTGAATGTAGTTCAAAGCAAGCATGGATGTACGTTTGCATTGTTGAGTAACCATCTGCACAGGCAGCTCAGAACTTTCCATCATCCCAAATGGAAATTATATCCATTCGACAACACTCACCTCCACGCTTTTCTTTTTCCTCTAGCCCCTGGCATTATGGTTTCTATCTAGATGGTCCCCCAAAACTTCATGTGCTCCAAGGTGGGGCTTTTGGGAAGTGATTGTGAAACAGTTAATTTTGTACCAACCGAGGAGGAAGTTAGGAAAGGAAGGAAGTCAGGAGAGTTTTTATTGGAAATAAGGACTCTTGGTGTCTCCAGGAGGGGAGTCCAACAAGTAGAATTTCCACATGGCCCCTCAGCCCAGAACTTGTTTTGGATAAATGGCACATGGGGAACTGCTTGGGTGTTTAGTGGCCACCTATCACAGGTGGCTCTGTGAATTTAAAATGGCCAATTGGAACTCAGGCTCTCTAACCCAGTTACTCAGCATGTAGGGTATAAAGGAAGCTGGGATTTTAAAGAAAAAGTGGTTATTTTGCATATCAAGTTCCTCAAAACTCAGGAGGTTAGTAGGGAGTGGCTTCAACTCCCTTTAAGTGGAGAGGGGACTGTATTTTACATTGCCTGAGGAAGTTCATTCTTGGTTCAAAGTCCTAGTTCTCTGCCTATTCTTATTTTAATTCTTAGCAATAAGGCCAATCACCCAACTCTATCTCAGGCTCTTTTCCTAGCTAGCTGTCTTACTCATAAATTCATTATTTTCTATACTTGGATCCTGGGAATGCTAGACTCATCAGAGGATTAGTCCTCTGAGGAGTTTATAGCTAAACTTGATGTTGGGAGGTGGGGCTTGGTCGAGGAAGTCCCTGAGGGTGTGGCCTCCATGCCTGCCTTCATAGTCTCTGCTTCCCACCCACTATGCACAGTGCTGTTGCCCTCCACGCCACCTCGGCCATGCTTGCCTGGCCTGGAGACTGCTGAATATGGATTGAAACCTCTACAAACTGTGAGCCAACATAATCCTCTCTTTTTAAGTTGGGGTGTTGGGTATTTTCTTCCAGTGAAGAGGAAAGTGACTGAGGCACCTGGGAATTTCCCTCTATGAATTTGATTACTCTAGATACTTTTGTTTGTTTGTTTTTGGTACCCAGGATCGAACTTGGGTCCTTGCGCTTGCTTTCGAGGCAGGCGGCGGAACCACTGAGCTAAATCCCCGGCCCACTCTATAGATACTTTTTAGAGATGGAATCACACAATATTATACTTTGTGATGGTTATTTCATTTAGGATGATGTCCTCAAGATTCATCCATGTTGTAGCACGTGCCAGAATTTCCTTCCTTTTTAAAGTTAAATAAAATTCCATTGTAGGTATAGCCACATTTTATCCATTCTTCTATCCATGATTTATAATTCTGTGTCTTCGTGTAGCGGCCAACTGGACCCAGGGCTTTGTGCCTGCTAGGCAAGGTCCATCCTGTTGAGTTACATCTTCAGTCCTTACAATTCTTTTTTGTAAAAAAAATGGCTTTTTAATAACTGGGCTCCATGGCACATGCCTATAATCCCAGGTACTTAAAAGGGTGTAGCGGGGACGGGGATTTAGGGCAATGGTTTCACCGCCTGAAGCGCAAGGACCCGAGTTCGATTCCTGGTACCAAAAAAAAAAAAAAAAAAAAAGGGGTGTAGCAGGAGGATCACAAGTTTGAGCTTAGCCCAGGCAACTTCATGAGAAATGATGGTCAGAATAAAATAATAAAAAGGGGGCCAGGGATTTAGCTCAGTGGTTCCGCCGCCTGCCTCACAAGTGCAAGGTCCTGAGTTTGATCCCTGGTACCCCCCCCCCAAAATAAATAAAAAGGGCGAGGGGTATAACTTAACACTCCCCGGGTTCAATCCCAGCACCATAAAAACAAACAAAAATATTTAATGAAGTAGAATTGCCATACAGTAAATTGCACATATTTATTGCACATATTTAAAATATACTATGCGTGTGTGCGCGTGCATGCATGTATGTGTGTATCTCTTTATATAAATATCCATAAAAGCATTACAACAATAGGAAAAGATCACTTGCTGATAAGGTGTTAAGTCAAAAGGTGCAAAGTTCACAGAAGTGCATCAGCAGGGCATAGAATTTCTATTATACATTAGAGAGCAAATGTTCATTGTTGGTGCCATGATCACATTCCACAGCCAAGTGCTTTAGGGGACATAAGGTAGGAAGTTAACTATGAGGCATTAAAAGCTTATACTTTAGTCCTGAGACTGGTCCAAGCCCAGAGTGGCTTAGGGGTGTCTCACCCTGTGGAGATTGATTCTCACAGGGACTATTTCTAAAGAGATTAATAATCAAGTTTAATGTACCCTAGATGGTCCACTGGAAATTGATGCTGGGAATCAATCCTGGATATGATCTGGTTCTCCATTCCTTTCCTTTGACAAAGTAGAACTGCCAAGTTCTTCAGAACGAATGTCAAGGCCCTGACCTGGCTATGTGACTGATCACGCACTGGATGGGCTGTCGCTAAGGAGCTGGTCATCAATCTGATAGAAACTTTCCACTGCCTGTGAGCAGAAGGTCCTTGATTTCCAGACACATTTATTTTTTGGGGGGGGATTGAACTCGAGTCCTTGTGCTTGCACAGCAGGCGGTGAA